TGTTAGAGCGTCGGCCGTATGTGCCGAAGGTCGAGGGTTCGAGTCCCACTCGTGCCAAAAACTCCCGAACGTACGGGTCCGACCCACACAGACTTTACCACAACGATTTGAATCCCAGTCCTGCCATTACTTCGGATCGGCAATAGTCTAGGATTGGCGTTATGCAGTTGGCTGTTTGGTCTAGTGTCAATTGTACACCACGAGATCAAACAGTCGATGCTAGAGATCCCATGTTACATCATTCGTGAACACCGGCCTGCCGACGGCCATATCCCTGCCGTGTTCCTTCCCCTGGCTGGTTTGCTACTCAGTCTTCCAAGCAAACCTCCTAGTGCTCGCCCCACTGGGCCACGGGGGCAGTCGTCTCGGTTTCTTCACTATTTGGACTCTCTGTGTGGGTCGGATCGGTAGCGATCGGACCAGGTTCCTACCAGATCCGATCCTGGCACCGTTTTTTTCTAGACTCCGATCCTTCACGGCTTTGGCGGGTACTTGTCATCTGTGTGGGCAAAGTTCATTTGTGTTGTCGTGAATTTAGGTCCAAAGGCAACCCCGAGTGGGATTGTCTACCGAGTGAGTGTGACATATCCCTGCCGTAAGCTATCTCCGCGGTGGTCAGGACTCGGCACCGTTGTTGGTATACTAGGAAACTCGGTAACATATGAAGTGGACTTTGGCGGACAGGATGTACGGAAGATGTGCACGCTCCGTAAACGCTGGCTTGCCTTGAGCACCGTACAACCCAAGCATCCGTACACCCCCCGTCCGTAGTCGCCAGCAATCACCGTCCAAATGGGCAATACAGGGCTGGCTGTTTGGTCCGGTGGTATGATTTCTCGTTAAGGCAGAAGCAATCAAGGGTTCGATGCCCAGAACAGCCCGTCAGTAACGTAGCCGAAACTGGGTGACGTCGTCAGGCTCCCCGAAATTGACAGCAAACCCAAAATTATCTTTCCTTGAACTATTCCTGGACCATCGGAGGTGCACCAATCGACGATTACCCGTATTTGCAGCTTGGAACGCTCAAATCCTACCATTGGACTATCTAGACGGCAGGGAGTCACGGCTGTCACTTTGCGAGTTG